ATTTAAATTAAATATTTATTATCTGACCTTTTAATGTTTGCCTTTCCAATGACACTTGAGAAAAATATTTTAGCTATTCTTGAATACAGTAATTTGAATTCAATTGTAATCAGAATTTTACTGTTTCACTACAGGGCATGGTTAAGGTCATTAGGGTACCTGAACTATGTATACCCTGGTTAAGGTAAATGCCTAACCCTGTTAGGTTAGACACTCTAATGATCATAACCATGTGCTTATAAATCACAACATTTGAATTATTTTTAACTTTAATTTGAGCTCTGTAATTTCTATACCTATCTTGTCTGGTTTTTCTTGTTTGTTTGTTTGTTTGTGATTCAGATAGTCAGCTTCCACTTTTCAAAAAAACATGGTTATATTGCAAATGCAACATCCTTTTCTCTTCCCCTTGTCATTGTCTTCTTTCCTTTTCCCTAATCTTTTCCCTCTATTATTAGGGAAGTTGATGAATCTTTACACAACATGGAGGAAAAAGAGCTGCGGATTTATATAATTTACTCTTTTTCCACATCAAAAACTGTATACTTTTTTTCAGCTAAACCAACGCTCCCTTATTCCTTGAGGATGTAGTCCTATAGTAGGAGCACTGATGAAGTGCACCATCCCAGTAGGATGTGTCTGAAGCAGTGTGTGTTCTGGAGGCACAGAGAGAGGCTGGTGCTGATCTACATTAGGCAAAGACAGTGCTGGTAAAAGCTTCTTCCTCTGACTTTTGTTTCCTTGTAATAAAAAAACTACATAGTGCATATCTCTGCCCAAGACGGAAGGGAACGAGGACCTCCATACTTAGATCTTAATGTTGTAGTATTTCAGCACATTAAAAACTTAAGCATATTCATTCTTTCAGCTCCCTTCTGAGGTCAGGCACTGCTGTCTCTTTAGCAGCTGGGGCTCCATGGCCCAGGGTGACAGCGCTATTTCTGTATTCTCCGGAGGTCTATGGGGTAGGAGTGAGTTGAACTATGGATTCCTCATTCTTCCTTCTTCCCTCATAATCTCTTCTGTATGCATCTGTTATCAGGACACAGCGTTGCTCTCAGGTGTTCGTGCCCTCTTAAATTCTTATTCTCAAAGGTATTAGTTACCTTCAACTCTCATTATCTACTGTTGTTACTTCTAACATGAATTCTTTTTGCCTCGTGATCCATTGTGCTACTTGATTAAACTATACTCATGAAACTGTGATTCAAAATGAATCTGCGCAGAAGTAGAACGCAGGATTGAAATAAATATGTATGATCTTCTAAATCAGTGGTTCTCAACCTTTTCGAAGTTGAGTGGCACTTGAGAAAATTGGCTGTGCTCTGTACCTCGCCGAGGTCAGCTCTGAACACATGAGGAGCTGTCACCTCGCTCTTTTGTTAAGTACTTGTGTACTTGCTGGCTTTATGGAAATTATAGTATATCTACTTATAATGTGATTGGCTACGTCGTTCAGTTCCGTGTATCATGCTGGAATCAGTCTGTTAGGGACTATATGTTTATTAGGATTTCCGACAGGAGAATACATGTGTTATTGGGTGTAGTATAGGAATAGTAAGTCCTATACTTCCTGCAGAAGTATTGGAAATACTACACCTGTGAGATGCAGTGACGCATTTCATGAGCAGTGGATCTGTCCCATAAATCCTGGAATTTCTGTGTATCCATTGTACAAGAAAAACTGTTTGATTTTGTTTTGGTTTTTTTTTTCCCCTGGGTAAGGTATGTGTGTATATACTGTGTAATGCTGTATATCTGATAGCTTATGGACATGCCTTACTGTGCATGGCTGTGTGCATGTAAGGTTAGTCTCTCCCACACTTTGCCAGCAGGTACATCATGTCATTGTTACACATGCTATGAATGTGATGTTTTCCGGAAAACTTGTGGTACATGTGGTCTACAGCAGATCCTTACATGTGCAATCAACATGTCCAGGATTTCTTCATATACAGCAGCCTGGATAGAGCAAGAGCACTCCTGAAGCTGGAAATCTGGATAAAATTTTCATGGGGAAGAAAAGACAATATTAACCAGAGAACCTAGAAATCGAGTGGCCTTACCTAAGGGGGTGGGGGTGGGGGCGGTGGGGGACAGAAAACACCAAACCAAAAAACAACCACCAAACAAACCCAAAAAACCAAACCAACCCCCTCCTCCCCAAAAAAACCAACCAACCAACCAAACAAACAAAAAACCAAAAAAACCCCAATAATCAAACAATACATTTTCAGCTCTTCTTTATCTGGTCAAGGAGGGAAGGGGAGGGAGGATACCCAGATAAGAGGAAATCCAGCTAATTGAAGACACTCTGAGGAGTGCAGTGCCGGACATCTGAAAACATGAGATTCACTTCTGAATAGAGACTGAAGTGCTTGCATTAAACTTACTGGTGCTCCAGGAGGATTAATTAGCCAACACTAATCTGGCCCTATACCTTTATGCTGCACCCAAGCTAACAACCCTACTCAGCTTCATTGGATTGCTGCCTTTTCCCTTTTATTCCAAACGGGGGGCTACTGCCTGCTGCCAGCCTTCCTTACACCCATGTTCCAGCACTACCTGTGAGCTGCCATCACCTTGTAGCTGAGGCAGGGATCAGACTAACAAATCCTGTTGGCCTCTGCTGATTCATTCCAGGTATGCTCAGAAGTACCTGCATCCCTCTCTCTGAAAATGTGGTTTGGAGATACTTGCACTAAGATCACTTCACAGTAAGATCTACATCATGTTGCCCATGTAATGGGATTATATAGCACAGGTTGGCATGTATTCTGCTTTCTGTCCTGTTTGCATAAGAGCGTGACCATCATCATTCCTGAGGTTTTTTGTTATTATCAATACCCTGACAGTCTTTGATAGCATAACTGTTTCTTGTATATGTAATCCTTCTAAGCTTATGTTTATTTTGTAACTGTGAAAGTTACCAAAAGTTTAGTTAGATTTTTGGTAAGATGCTGTTATAGTAAAAGTAAGATTTTTACATCCAGACTTCTCTTATCGATGTGTTGACAGAAATTCAGCAAAACTTAAAAAAATGCACACTCTTCTGTGGTTGAAGTGCTTAGATATGCTTGTATAGAGGTGGGAGAGTTTGTTATGGTTTTGGTGTAGACAAAATGTACTAAAAGGGGGTATAAAAAGTTGCAATGAAAATTCAGATTGCCATCTGCACATTTCCGTTACTAACAATATTGCCAACTTTTGTTTAACGAACAGATGAACCCAATGTAAAATTGCTAAGAGCAGATAGTAAATTGGACATATGCCTCAAATCATTTGATCAAATTTTATATACAAACTCAGAAGGAAGACGATTCAATTTTTATAGTGTGCTGGTTTATAATGACATTGGAAAAAATACCACTGAAACGAACGTAAGATGATATAGACAAATAAGTTCCTGTTGTGTAATAAAAAGCAAAGTTTTGGCAAGAAGGTCAACAAAAATCTTAAGTTATGGAATATCTTATGGCATTTGAAGGATGTAAACGACATTTGTATCAGTAGTCTCTTTTGCCTATGGCAAAGAAACTGAAGAATACATCATGAGGTGGTAACCCAGAAACATATGCCTTTTCAGATTTGTTAGAGCATGGTAGTTTCCCCTCAGCCAGGCCAGGTTCTCTCTTCAGGGTCTGCGTCAGTTGTAGTCAAGAGTTTACTATCATTATAAGTCATGTCACCAGCTGCCTTCAAATATATTCTTTATCCCAGATATTAAATATGAAGTTGACTTTTTTTTTTTCTTTTGAAAGGCACTGTCCCGGTGAGTGTCAGAAGCAGAATAGCAGTGTTAAGACAAAGTGCTCATAGGCCAGTTCCTTCTGCTGTGACTGAGGTGGAGGCCCACGTGACTATTAGTTTTGCAGCACATCAGATTTAAGTCATTTGCAAATGTGTCTTCTAATAGTGCAGCTGCCTGCACCTTCTGCTGTCTCCTACCTGAAGTTTGTATTTCCTTAGTAGTGCTTATTCAACTGTTTTTTCTTGGCTGTTCTCTAACCTAAATCTATTAAATGATCCCTAAAAAATCCCAACAATCTTCCCCAATTTTATTTGCAAACAGGTTGTTTTGCAGGTCTAGCTCAGAACTTGGCCACCCCAGCATTTGTCCCAGCACTGCTGAGGGGCAGCACCCTTTAGCCATGGCTGCAATGATCATCTCGGAGCAGAGGGAATATTTAAACTGGATCTGCTGCTGATAGACTAGTTGGTGTGGAACCACAGTCATAGCCAGCCCTGTACTTTATGTTGATGTGTCTGTTATACTACTGCTGTCTAAATCAGCTTGTATAAAGCCAGCACAGTAATCTCTACATTGCACTGAACTGCACCATGTACACCTACTCTGTAAGAATGGCACAAGCTTGCTGTACTATGTTTATGCCATCTAAGTATCCGATCACAGAAATTTATGGAGACAGCACAAAGAACAACAACGTGATATTCTGTGCACTATAATCCTCATTAGAAATAGTGCTAGAATGATTATGGGGAGAGGTGATAAAACTCTGCAGAGGCATTTGCCTGGAACTAAAGATACAGAAATTCTGCATCTTTGAAAAGATGCAAGATTTCATTCACTTGTTTGAAACCTCAGACAGAATCCACGTCCTAATAAGTTAAAGATTCCAGAAGTTTGTGACTTGGTTTGTTTGCTTAGATTGTGCCTCTTGAGCTTCATGCTGTGAGTCAAATATAGTTAAGGCATCAGAAAGAGGGGTGTCACAGTTCAATTTTTAATTTCAATCTCATACTATAATTTAGAATATAAACATCAGTCTTGCAATTTATTGCAGGTAAGCAATATTTTATATTCTTGAAATGTAATACTAATTTAGTTGGTAAATATAATGGTCCTAAAATAACAATTTTTTTTCTTTTTTTTTCCTTCATTTTGCTAGTGCTGTTGCTGAGGCTGAAGGAATTGAGCCATTAGTAAATATCTTGAATGCTCAGAGAGATGGAGCCATTGCTAATGCTGCCACAGTGCTAACAAATCTGGCCATGCAAGAGCCATTCCGCGTAAATATCCAGAGCCGTGGTATTATGAGTGCGCTTGCAGAACCGTTGCGCTCGACCAACAGCCAAGTGCAAAGCAAAGCAGCATTTGCTGTGGCTGCATTTGGTTGTGATGCTGATGCAAGAACTGAGGTAAAACTCTTCTTCGAGGTTGTGGTTATTTGTAACATTTCTAGATCCTGAGGTTGGTGTTATACTTACCTAGGATCTTTGTATTTTGTATGTCTGTCGTAAAAGTCCCAAGGTTTCTAGATAGTAACTAATTTTTCACTTTCATCATAGGCTTGTTCAGCTGAATTTAGCGCCGTTTGTCATGAGAACTTGGGAAGGGTTTTCTTTAATTTGTATTTTTACTTATGTATTTGCTCACGCCAAATTATGTTTTACAGCTTTCCAGTGGCTTCAGTGAGCTTTAACCAAGGCTGTATCTTAATCCCAATGTTTATGAGCATTAAACGTTAAGGTTTCTCTCAGCTGCAACTGTCGGCTGTATTTTGAAGACGAGAAGTTCTGTCCTCTTTACTCTCCCTCAGTGTTGTTCTACTGCCCACTTTAAAGGCCTGAACAGCAATGTCTGTTCTTGATTTATAAGATACTGGATGTGCATGGCGTAAATGTAATTCAAATAAAACTCAAAATCTAATTAATCCCTTGATCAGTGGCATCCAGCAAGTTGAACTTTTCACTGTTTATCAATGGTCATATTATTTTCTTTTCATAAATAAGGATGATGCTATGTGCATTCATAGGTCATAAGCTGGGGATTTCTCATGGGTCAAGGCTGTTAATTAGGACATGAATAAGGGGCATAGATAATTAATCTACCTCTTTCAGTGTCCTTAAAATGTCTTTCTCTTCAAAAAGCCAAATGAGCAGTATTTCCTCCAGTGTGTATAGGAAAGATACTGTAGCACACAAGAGAATAGGATGTTAATAAGATTGTCATACATACAATACAATACAAATTCAAATATATTGTGATGTAAATTAGTTGCTAGGAGGCAACAGAACACAGAAAAAACTGTGTAACTCTCTGTGGCAGTTGGGTTGCATAGTCTTTTCAGTTTCCACACCGCAACCTAATAACTGAAAAGCAAGCCGGAGCCAGAAGGGATGTGTGCCTTGAACCACTCTGAAGCTCGCTTCAGCTCCAGCCTATGCAGGGTTCACAGAAGCAGAGAGTCCCCCTAAATGGCGTTTCTACCAGCCCAGCATAGCTTCTCTACAAGGCTTGAATGTTTCGGAAGGTGAATTTCACAGGCTCTTCTTGCTAGGACAGATGAAATATGTAAGTGGCAATGTCTTATTTTTTTTGTAGTTAAGAAATGCAGGTGGACTGGGACCACTCGTTGAATTGCTGCATTCTAAGAATGAAGAAGTCAGAAGAAATGTCTGTTGGGCTGTTATGGTCTGTGCAAGTGATGAACTAACCGCTGTTGAACTATGTAGGCTAGGGTGAGTAGAAATAGTATCAAGGGGCAGAGGGAAGATTTTGATGAGATAACTCTATTAAGTTGATCTTTACATATTTATAGCAGAATAACAAAGTTAAGCTATACTTTCCAGCAAGCAGAAACTACTTTTGCACCACAGATGTTACAAATGAAATGGTGTTGATTTTAAGTAGCAGAAGTCTTAAGAAAAAATGCAAGCCTGAAGAGAAAACTGCCTGGAATTATAAAAACATTTATTGTTTCTGTGACTGAATTAGGCTTCATATTGAAGATGTGCTTATATCAGTCAAAATTAGGGACTAGAGTGCCCCATACACATGAAACTGAAATTAAGGTTTCAGGCGAAGTTCAATATACAGTAAATTGTACTTATTACACAGAGGCTAAATTTGGTTTACAGACTCTGGTTAACTGCAGGTGTGCTGAAGTGTTACATAAAAGAGACTCTATTTTATTCCTTCTTAGAACCTCCAAGTTCCATATATTAATATCTGAATTACAAAAGCTGTTTTAGGTTGTAAGAATTATGGCACAGGGCTCCTGTACGGGGTGACTGTTTTAGTTATTGTTAAATTAAAATATATGTAATTGCCCTGCTCCCTCTGCTGGACACTTCTCTGATTACTGCACAGATACTTAAAATCCATCTATAAGGGGATTCTGCAAAGTGAGAAACTCAGAAATTTAGGTCAGCAGGGGACCTCAAAGGTGATGTTATCCATCTGCCCTATAAGACTGAATGAGGTACACTGACATATTTCTGCTTGTTAAGTCTAAATACCAGTTCTGAGGGGGTTTCACAACTTTGCAAGGTAACCTGTCCAGTGCTGAAGTATCCTTACAATTAGAAGGGGTTTCTGAGTTCTAAATATCCCTTACAGCAAATTCAACTATATGTTGTCCTACTTTCAGTGGGATTGAATAACAATGTTATAGCAATTTGAGTTTAACTTTTTTAATTTTCTCATGTTCCATGTCCCTCTCTCAGTTTCCTTTTCGTGACAAAGTAAAAATGTTAAACTTCTTTTTGTTTTGAAATCTTGTATCATTTTGTCACACATCTCTGAATTTCTCTCATTTATTTATGCCATGTTGAAGTGCTGTCTCCCAGCCTGGATGAGGTACTTCAGCTGAGGTCATACCACCATCAGATAAAGCTCAGTAATTATTTTCTATATTTTGTATATAGCACTGTTCTTATTTAATCCCTTCTTTGTGACAGTATCAGAGTAGGACTCTTAATTTATGTGTCCTTCCAGTTTGACAGCATATTATTGATACTGATACATTAAGCATAGTTTTTCAACTAGTCAGGCACTACTTCATGTTATTTTCATGTAGGTCATATTTCCCTGACTTGCTCATGAGTATTCAAGTAGGAATACGTGAAAAGACTTATTAAAGTCAAAACATATCTCAAAGTCAACTCATATCTCACATCTACTTCTTCTGCCTATACATTGTCAGTTACCGTATCACAGAAAGGATTCGGTTGGCTTTACACGATTTATTCTTGACAAATACATAATGGCTATTTCTTACCATCTTATCTCTTGTTGCTTGCAAACTGATTGTTTAATAATTTGATATGGTGTCCTTTGGACACTGAAATTTGGCTGAATGATCTCTATTATTTCCTTGTTCTTCCTTTTTCAAATCTAGATACTATCTTTGCCCTTCTCCACTCTCCTGGCATCTACCCTGTCCTCCCTGAATTTTCAACTATAATTATAAATAGTTCAGAGGTTGCTTCTGCCAATTCATAGAATAGTATTAGGTAAGTCTCCTCAGGCACTGATAACTTTGTCTCCTGAAACTTATTCTAGTCATATTAAGCCTATGTTTCCACCTCTGTGTTAATATTACTGCCAGGCATCTGCTTGCAACCTTTTTATGAAAACTGAAGCAAAAAAGGCATCAGACACTTCAGTCTTTTCTGTGCCATCTGTTACGAGTTTTCTTCCCCCGTTGAGTAATAGGCCTACATTTTCCTCTCTGACTTGCAGCATATGAAACATTTATTTTTGTTTCAGTTCCTGAATAGTTGTATCTCACTTTGCCTGGGGGTCTTTTGTTTTTTTCCCTTACTTCTTCTTTCCTGTTGGAAGTGTCAGTGTTTCCATTTCTGTATGAGTCCTTTTTTGGCTTTTGGGTCTTCACAGAATTTTTGGTGCAGCCGTATTTGTCCCTTTTTGGCTTGTCGTTCCTCCACATGAGGATAATATGCCATTGTGCTTGTAATGTCATCTGTCTTTGACACTGCTGTACTCATTAGGCTTTTCTTACTCATTTTCCCCTCTAAAATTCTTCCCTGCATTACTTGCTGGTTATCTGACTTTGTTGCAGTATGCTGTGTGACAAATAGCCTGTACTGCTGTTCCACTATTTTCTCCCATTGCTCTCTTCTAAAAGAGAAGGTTGACATTTGCATTGCCTGAAAAACTTGTTCTCTGGAATCCATCTGATGTACCTTCAGATGTCTACATTGTAAATGTCCACAGCTGAGGCTCCCTGTGTAGTTCAGAGAAAAATGGGCAGTCTAAACGTGGAGTTCATTATATATATAAAAAAAATTTATTCCTTAGATTGCAAAATTGATTCCTTAGGATGCGAAGAATGCCTGCATGTGTGTATAGACACAAACAGATATAAATTTGAATATACACATACACATGTTTTTACAAGTGTATTAATGACAA